CGAGGCCGCAAGGGGGACGATACACAACGTATCGTTATTATGCCGAGACTGTGCTTTGGGTGGAGGGCAAAGGGTGTAATCTGAAATGGCGTTTAGATGAATGCTCCAGGCTTGAATCTGCAAAAGGTGAATCACAAGGCGGAATGATCCTCGAGGTGCAACAGCCCACATGGATTTCATCCTGGGCCCTCCACCCTAAGAAAATGCTCAGGTATGTCCTCATCAGGACGCCCCGCCGCAATAGCGGTCATGCTTCGGCGCGATGTTGGCCAAGCCCATCCAGAGCGTGCCGGCATGGCACATCAGCCGGCGAGCCAGCACAACGTGAAGTACACCACACCGTATCGCACACACGAGGCCGGAGAACAGCGGAAAGGCGAACGCGAGAGAACGACACGAGCACGATCATGAGTACCTTATACAGAGAAGACGCCATGATGGCCCCAGAGGTCCCCAGCGTGGTGCGGAAGGCCTGGAGCACCTTTGGGCCAGGAGCACTTCTAGCAACATCCGTAGAGAGTAGAGACGGCGGCGCAGCACCCGCAGATCAGGAGGGGAATAAACACACAGACACAATTAATCGACGATTCCCAAGAAAATATTGGAGAATATGGGAAGTGGGGGGGAAGGCAGAAACCCAGAACATACGGGAAAATGTTGGGAATCCTTTTACTTGTGTGTATTTCTTTGTGTGTCCTTGGGTCCCTCGAGCAGACCTCTCCCCTTTCTGAGGTCTTCGGGGGCGGCGGCGCCCCGCGCTGCTCCTGCGGCACGTAGCTCTTGCGCGTCCAAGCGGGGGGGTGGAGGGCTGAGGACTGGGTGGTGGTGGCGGACATCATGACCGTGGCCATGGCATCTTCCAGATCTCATGGCCCCCTCCTTGTGTTTCAATGCACTGCCTGGCCTTCGGGCCGTCGGGTCACAGCTCCGCTCTCTGGCGTCCGCCCGGGACGACCATGGGCGCCCCCGGGAACGCTCTGGGCGCGGCGCAGCTGCTAGAAGGCACCACCAGGCGGGAAGACCGGTGAAAGCCGACATCACGTCCGACAAAACCTCGGACTTCGAACCCCTTGTCTTCCTCATCCCTTCTCCTCCTCCCTCCTCCTCCTCCTCCTCCTTCTTCTCCTCCTCCTCCTCCTCCTCCTCCTCCTCCTCCCTCCCGTCCTTCCCCTTTCAATGCACATTTCCATGCACGCCCTGCCTCCCCCGCCCAAGGACTTGTTCCTGGGCTCAACGCATGTACAACAAATGCCTGCTGCTAGCACGGCCCCTTACGGGGCCTCTGAGGCGAAAAACGGCTGCAGAGTTTTGGAAGCTTTGCTGCAAACTTGTCTCTCCCGCCTGCGCTACCCTGTGTATGCGGCTACGCTCACTGTGCATGCAGCTACGTACTGTAGACGAGGAGGGGAAGGAGGAGAAGGAGGAGGGAGGAAAAAGGAGGAGGAGGAGGAGGAGGGAGGAGGAGGAGGAGGGAGGAGGAGGAGGAGGAGGAGGAGGAGGAGGAGGAGGAGGCACCTAGGGGGCGACCTCGATGCGTGGGCGGCGCATCGGGGTCCCTGGGGGAACTGAAATCCGCCATGACGTCGCTTGCGGCGCCGCGGCCCAGGGGCGTCGGTGCCCTGGCGGGCCTGGGGCGGCCCCCCGACTCTTCCGGGTGGTCCCCGTGCTTATTCGGTCTGCCGTCTCAGGTCCCCCGGGGACCCGGCGTTTCGGGGCCGCGTGGGTAACCCCCCAGGGTTGGCGCGGACTGGTTCTCCAGTCTGCGTCGGCCTGCGTGGTGCCAGCCTGTGCGGGGGCTGGCTCTGGCCACTGTTGGGGCCCGCCCTTCACGTCGGGGTGTCGGGTGTGGCCAGGGGGGTCGACTCTCGTGGAGAGTGCGGCTCAAGACGTGGAATGCCTTTCCCCCCCTTGGGCAAAGGGGCCTGTGGGGGCGCGCCAGGCTACCCATGTGCGGTAACACGCGCCGTGTGCCCCGCACGGTGACGTGGGGTACCCTGTGTCCCCTGGTGCAGGAAGAACCAGGGAGGCATGGGGGCCGCCCGCCTTCGGCGGTTTGGTGGAGCTCCTGGAGCTCCACGCGGTGAGCCTGGCGCCTCTTCTTTTTCGCTCTTTTCTCTCATTGCTTTTTCTTTCTCGGGTCCCGCCAGGAGTGTGCGGCCCCTAGCTCTAGGGGGTCGGCGGCGGTGGGCGCGTGCACTCATCGTCCGCTACTGCGTGCGCAGGATGGAGGAGGAGGATGGAGGAGGAGGAGGAGGAGGA